CAATAAAAAGATATGAGAAGCTCCTATATATTTCAATTGTAATTATAATAGGCATTATTAATACCTGTGGCAATGACATTTTCTGAATCTAGATTTACTGGAGAGAGTGGTGGTAAGCTCTGATAGTTAAAGATATCATCATCCTCATCACATGAATTAGCATTGCTCTTATCAGGCTGGTCACAACCGATGGGTGGAATGACTGAACTTTCAAAATGCAGGTCCACCTCCATAGTGCATGAAGGGTCTCTACCATTTAAGATTATCTGGCAAAACGATCTTCTTATGTTAGAGATAGAAGGTATCTTGAACTGTAATGGGACACCTGAAAAAAGSAATTTAAATTTGAACACAAATTATAAAATTTGTTTCCATTGGTGTACAGACATAGATTTATTTCAAAAGATCACATCTTGACAGACTAGCAAAAAATCTCACTCATTTTCTTAAATCCTTCATTGGCTGCATTCTAGACATATAAAGAAAGAAAGAACAAGGTAATTATGTCCCAGATTGTTTCTATATCCATGCACTTGAAAATGGGCATAAAAATTAAAAGAGGATATCACAATATACAGTGTTATATTCATGGTCATATATATCAAGGTACGCACCCAAAAAAAGATCCTAAATAGGGTTGCGGAATGGACATTCAGTCATGTGTTACTCAATATTATAAGCACAATAGAAAGTAAGGATTTTTTTTAAAGTGTGAAAGAGAAACTAAAGTTAAATTTACCTGAYGCAAATAATGTCATGAAGCAGAGAAGATAAATTCCACAATCTGTTGAACTTGACCCTTGAGATGGCATTGTGTTCCTTTCTTCTGTGCTCAACTTCTGAAAGGAACCCAGGTCAATATTGCCTTCCTTGAACTTTGTTTCTAACAAATTGAACACAACCCAGTAGGTCTTGGTTGAGATGTCAATCGATACACACCACCAATGGCCTGGACAGCGGATTGGGAAAATAAACTTCTTATATTGGTCAAAGTTGAAGTTTTTAATCCTCCTTGRCTCTTGCTTGCTAAGGTAAGACAGCCAAAATGTGTCTGCAGCAAAAACATGTTGGTGTTGTGACATCAAGTATCCGCCGAAATAATTAACAATCTGATCATTCATCAGATGGTCAGGCTTTAAGGACAGTGTTACAGTGCCATGCCTGTCAGAAACAACAGTTTCACTTGGAATTGGACTGTCATCTCTGCAAATTTCATCAAGACTACACACAAAATCCTTTCTTGTGTGGATATCTGGATGGTTATCGACGTCAAGGGGATTGTTTGCTGACCCAGGTCTTGAAACCTTGACAACTGCAAAGTAAGTATTCTGCTGGCACTCTCGCTGAAGAAA